GCCCTGCTCTAAATAATAGTTTCACCCAATCAATCCCCAGAATGAATTCTATCACCTAAGAACTTTGAAAACTTCCATACATATACTAGTTTATTCTTTGGGTCATGTTTATCTGGCAGAAATTATGTCATTACATAATTTCAGTTAAAACCAAGTCAGTTCTCATGCCATTTTTCTTTTAACTTCTCCAGATCATCACTTCTTTGCACAATAGAGGACAGTGATTGTTATGATTTTATCCCAGAAGCTGCTTCTGTTGTAAAGAAAATATCTTTGTTCCCTAGCATCCAAACCATCTAAGTGCTTGCTGAAAATGTGATGGCTGATCTTGTCCCTGTCTTCAGCTAATGCTTTGTGACAGTAAAAAAAACAAAAGCAAAACAAAAACAGGATTTATTTTATTTTAAATATTTATCATGTTTCCTCCATATGGCTCCAGACTTGTGCCACGAAGAATCCTAACTCCTTGGGATCCCCCCCATATTTTACTTCCAATGGGGGCACATTTGGAGTTCTACGTCTTCTAGCAATTACCCAGCCCGCTGGAGGCCCCTGGGCTGCTGCTGCCTGTTGCACTAGCCCGCGTTGATTTATGGGGGTGGCTGCTCTGATTCTTCTGGCTGGGGCTGCCTCCCCCTCATCTCCCTCATACCTTTGTTCAGTTTGAGGTTCTCTGATAGCTTCATTTAAAAGATGCATGGCCTGAGTCAGTAAAAAATTCCTTTTTTCCTTCTCCTGCCATGGCTCCTCTCTTCCAGGCCGACGGATAGTGGTCACTCCTGGAGGAGGCTTTTCCTCAGGGTCCTTCCAACTGACTCCCAGGGACCATTTGGGTTTTACAGCTGGTTTTTCCCCAAGATTTAGTTCTGCTAACAAGTCGGCTTCCCCTGCTTCCTCTAGCAGCAGAGAATCTTGTCCTCCAGTTGCTCCCAGGTCTTCTTGGTCGCTGGCTGGATTTGACATTGTGTTCAGACCTTCTCGGAAGAAAATTTATTAATTCTCCGGGTGGGCTGGTAATGAGAGATTCAGAATAATGTCAGCTGGTGCTCCATTCAAAATCCAAGAAAGAAATACTTAGACTCCTTTAATCAGAGAAAAGATATCTTTTACTCGAAATCAAGTGGTAGCAACAAAAGAATTCTGAATCTGAGAAAATGGGTGCGTAAATCACATACACAAAGTAATGGCAACATTCCCACCCCCAATAGTTCAATTGGTTCATCCAATTAAAAGTTGTGTATATCATCATGTGGGCATCTCCAGGTGGTGATGAGGCTTCTGTCCGTTGACCTTGACATAGTTTGATAAAGAGTTGCAGCTGCGCATAGCATAGAATAGAAACCTAAGCAAGAATGTACCCACCCCCCAGTTTATACAGTTCTGGTTTGTAACACCTCCAGCTCACTTCCCATAACCATTCTCCCACTCCTCCCCCTGTTACTTATGACAACCGAAAGATGCAAAGCAAAGGAAGAAATTCTTGAAGGCTGACACAGGGAGAGATGCGTTGAGCCATGTTTCACAGACAAATATAATGTTGAATTTAGCTGTATTTAGTAAGAGGAGAAATTCAGGTATTTTATTTACAAGGCTTTTTGCATTGAGTAGCTTGCATTTAAGGCCAGTTGTGGTTGGAATAGAGGTAGTTAGGGGCATGCGTGCCTAGTTTTGAGTGATGTTGGATCAGATGGGGTGGGGTTGGATGTGGAGTTGTGGGTTGTGTGACTTTATTTTGATGCAATCAGCATAGTAGTCAATGTACAGGTCCTTTTCTCCATTGTCTAGACGGTTTCTGAGTTCTGTGCGGAATTCATGGGAGTGGATTCTTTGCAGTATGCATAAGTCTGGCCTTGAGCGAAGTTTTTTATGGGTGGGATTGGATTTTGCAATGGTGTTTATTGTATGAATGAATATACGTTTGCTGGTCTCATTTTTACAAACAACTGTACAAAATCTTGGGGCCATAGAGCTGTCATTGTATTTGTACCCAGGGTGACCTTTGGTAATTTCAATGATATCTTCAGGAGAGATTTGTTGTGTTTGAGTTGCTTATGATATCACAAACTTTGGTGATATCGTCTGATTTACATCAAGGCATCTTTTACATTTAATTTGTTTTGCTTTATTTTGAGGGGACAGCACATTTACACTGTTATATAAGCTGTATCCTCACTACTTTACATTGTAGCAAAACAAAAAAGAATATCTGCATAGAGAATGGAAGTATGTGTGTGGGTGTGTGAGAGTCTTCAAAACAATCTTGTCCAGGTAATTAAAAGTGAGAGAGAGAGATTAATTTGTATAACCAAATTACAGAAGCCAGTTTTCAGTCATTTGCTGAGATACTACTATCTAAAAATCCTTACTATAGAACAGATGGCATTCCAGCCGGAGACAACTATATGTGAGCAAAGAGATGAGGTATGAGTAATTATGGCATTTAGAGATGATATGTGTAGATGTATACAAACATAATTGGAATGCAATGCATCATACTCACATTTTCCCCTATCAAGAAACTTGCCAGGTTATCACACTGGAGATTTTCTCCTATTATTCTAACTTTTTGCATTCTTATCCAATGATTTTTTTTTTTTTAATGGACAAGGGAATAGATGAGATGACCAAGTCTCAGAGATGGGCTCATGGGATCAGCGAGATGAATTATAAACATGAAATATCACTCCAAAAAGATATCAAATGTTCACATGACTCACAATTTTGTTACACCTTCAACAAAGAAAATCTGATGTCCATCTTTTCTACAAAGCCACTTCATTCAGATCTCCAGCAAAACAACGTATTAATAACTTCTATTATGGAGGAGTTGAACACAGATACCTCTTTCCTTTAATTCACCACATCCGTGTTATGATATGAACGATGTACGTATGTTAACCTGCCAATGCCATCATTAGCACTGATTCTAATTTGTTGAAACTGTCTTGTAAAATTTAGTATGCATCGGATCTTTTCAGGCAACCAGGAAGCATTTATTTTCTGAACTCATTGGTGAAATCTGAGGAGAATATTAGAAAAATCTCCAGACTGCAAATAAGTATTGGCTGTCTTAAGTGACTTCTAATAATCGTTTTAAAGTCATCAATGCAAGATACAGTAAAAAAAAAAAAAAAGTATCCAAGCTTGTTGGTTGGTGTGGGAATAGCAGGCTTAACTTGATGGATTTATAATCTGAGCCACTGTGACTCTTCTTATGTTCTTAGAGTGGAGAGTACTAATCCAGCTAAAGTAACAAAAAAGCAGCTTTTTACAATCGCAAGTCTAAATACTATCTATCTTTGGCTAGTGATCAGCCTCTTTTTCTCTAACAGTAAAATTTAAATGGCAGGAAATAGTGCCTCTGATATTTGTTCACAGGTCTCCCAATACCTTTTCTTATGAAGTCGAGAAGGTTCTTCTGCAGCACAGAGGAGAAATACCTTCTCGTTTTCACTTCACTTGCTAAATTATTCCCAGTGTGTTAAACAATGTAATTAAGCATACATGCTCACATGCTAAAAGTTCTTTCTATTCTTCATCAAGAGGGAGTGAAAAGAAAGATTGGGCATGTGTCAGCCCCAGTCTTCAAGCTCTGTTAGTTTTAATTTGGGCTGTGGAATTAGTCATCAGTTTTGCTGGGACTGCATTAGGAGAAATAGATCTTTGTATGCAGGGACTTGAGCTCTGTTGCAAATGAGTATTTGTTAAGGGGAAACCATTCTCTTGTCGTGTTATGCTACATTACATAAGATTTATATCCACTGTAGGAGAAATGGAACCAGGAAAAGAATATTAATTCTTGGTGTCCGTGGAATGTCACCCAATTTCATTTTTTAAAAGGAGCTGCTTTCCTTATTTAAGTCAATGTAGAAAATAATTAATCAATTAATGGGAAATGTACCTTTTTGGCAGAGAGCTAGTGCAAAATGCAAAATCAGTCTGCAAAGAATAGCAATAGCATGTAGGCTTATATACCACTTCACGGTACTGTACAGCCCTCTCTAAGCGATTTACAGAGTCAGCACATTGCCCCCAACAATCTGGGTTCTCATTTTACCGAACCTTGGAAGGATGGAAGGTTGAGTCAACCTTGAGCTGGTGAGAACTGAATTGTCAAACTGCTGGCAGTCAACAGAAGTAGTTGGCAGTACTGCGTTCTAACCACTGCACCCCCACAGTTCTTAGAATCTTTAGAATCTGGGTCTAAATGTGTTTTTTTAAGATCTGCAACCATTTGGTCCATGGGATGAGGGCATAAATAAGGGCTTGAATAAACTCTGGGGGAAGCTTTGGTGTGAATGTTCAGCTACATAAGCAACTTTATATAGACTCATCATTTTAGTCAGGTTCATAATTCATAATTCATTTTCATCAAATCAGATGGTGCCCAATTCATTACCCCAGTAGTTTTACTTTTATTGAGCAAAGCACTTGTAGGCAGAAGCAAGTGGATTGAAAACCCAAATTTTAGTTTCATGTGCAGGAAATCCTGCTTGTAACATCCCATTTGGCATGCACATCACTCAATCATGGACTGTACACTTTCATAGCCCAGCTGCTCCTATCAGATCATGATCTTTAGTAGGGTATTTAATCAACTTGATCTGCAGAGAATAAGAAGGACTCCTCTGAATTGTACACATGCTCTACCTGTGAAAGTTGGCAGTAGACTCAGAAAATAATAAGAATTTAGACAGAAACTATCTGTCTAAAGGTGATTTAATCATAGCTTATCTCATAAATAGCAGTTCAGTCCAGCTTGGAATAAAAAGGAAGAAGAGACCAATGGAACAGCTTGCCTTCAGAAGTTGTGGGTGCTCCATCACTGGAGGTTTCCAAAAAAAACTGGACAGCCATTTCTCTGGAATAATATCTGGTCTCCTGCTCAAGCAGAGAATTGAACTAGAAGATCTTTAAGGTCCCTTCCAACTCTATTGTTCTATGTTTTAGATTCAAAATGTTCCAATAGACTCTTGAATTAACTTACTAATAAATTAGAGATGGAGATCCTTCTCATTTCCAATAGTATGTCCTTTAATCCTAACGTGAGTATTAACTCACCTTATGAAATCTGGACAATTCTGCTTCTTTGACTGTGTAAAAGATTTGACACCACCCTCCAAAATTGTTCAATGCAGCTCTGAGGCTCCCAAATGTCACCAATCCCTGAGTTAAATTCCTCATCGATCATAAGGAAACTAAATTCTAGAAAAAGTGCCCACTATTGATTTTCCTCCGTTTGAATGTTAATTGTTTCTACATTTCTCTGCATAAGATGACTGTACATTTTGGACAAATCTGGGTCCTTTTGATTTGGTGATATAGGAGTTATCTTTTTTCCCCCAGTAAATTCCAGTTCTTAAATTTGTCAGCTAATGAACTTCTTCTCCATTCTCCTTTTCTCATTAAAGGAGCAAAATCAAGCAACTGAAGGAAGCCCAGCTTTCCCTTTGCAATTTAACAACCAGGATTTTGTTAAACTGCAAAACTACTGCCTGCATCAGGGCCTACTTTTTGAAGATGATACATTCCCAGCAAATGGTCATTCCATTGGACTTAATTTGTTTCCACAAGAGAAACTCAGAAAAATACAGTGGCTGAGACCAAACGTGAGTAGTGATAAAATTTGTGCCCTTGGGATATCTGTATATGTTTATAGTTTATATGGGAATTATCTGCTTGGTGTAACACCCACTTCTAGGTTCTTGTTGTACAGAAAATACAGATGATAAGTACCTTCACAACCCATACTAAATCCAATCTACCTTACATATTCTGCTCGACCTCAGAATACATCTTCTTGCCTTCCCTCTTATAACAGGTACAAATTCTGTTGTCTTCTTCCTGTCAGTTGCACATTGAATTAAGACCAAACTACTTTATTTGATGTCAGTCTTCCAAGGGAAGAGCTTAGTTCCCCACTTTTTTAGCCCATGGAACAGAATTAGAAAGACAAATCAAATTCTAAGGAGTATTTCTCTAATCCAACAATAAGCAACTTGATACCTACCAAATATTTTGGATTAATTTATCATTGGCTATGTTGCTTTCTAGTCAATCTAATTCATCCTAACCTTTTTTCAATAGCCAAACTAGTTTCACTTAAATCCATCTTCACCTCAGTAATAAATTGCCCAGTTAAATATCCAAGTCTCAACTGCTCTTATGACCTGCTTTGAATAGCCTATAGGTCATCTACATGTATCTCAACTGTTGTCTTCAGTTCTCCAACCGGGCATTCATTCATGCATCCATCTCACCATCCATGTATCCATGCTTCCATCCATCCATCCCTAATCACATTGGAATTTTAAATGATTATAAAGTCAGCAGACCTGAAGGACCAGGTTGAGGACAGATCTTCTTGAGAAAAAAATTTGCAATCATTAAAAGTTAATGCCACCTTAATGACACAACTTCACCATCATAAAGTCAGCCAATTTGTTTGGAATGGACCATGTTAGTATAAGTAAAGCTTTGTAATAGTTTCTGGGCCACAAACATTTTGATTGGAGTAGCAGCAGGTATTAGATGATAACATTAAAAAAATCCTGGAAGAAAGTTAAAGAAGTTAAAAACAACAACCTTAATTTGGAAAATTCAAAGGATTTGGAATATACTCTAACTAGATTATTTTTGTGCCAGACATCTCCAGCAGAGTCTTGAATTTTGCCTACATGTATTCAAAATACAGCAAAGGCATTTTCTAGCTTGACTCTGCTACCAACAGCTATATTACTGCAGTTAAAATAATTCTTGACATAGCACTAGAAATTTCTGGAAGTTGAAAAGTGTGATAACTATTTTCAATTATTAATAGTCATTTTTTAAAAAAGGAACATTCAGTGGTTCAAGTGTAGCCTGAATTCTGAGAATAAGGCTGTCTCTGCACACACATTTAATTGGGAGAAAGTCACATGGAACTTATGTTTGAGTAACCATGGTGTGGAAAAGGATGTGTAACAGGATACAATTATCCTGTTACACTTCCTTATTAGTATGGAATATCTCATTCGTCTCCCATTACAGCATTTTGCTTTTTACCTTTCTTAAAATTAATTAAGAAAGTTTACAAGACTCATTTTCCTGGCTGTTTTATAAAGTGAAGACAAATAGTGAAGCTCAGTTGCTGAGCAGAAGGTATTTTGCATTTAAAAGGCTACATATGTGATTCTATACAAAGTAGTAGAATCTCAATGTTAATTTTAATTGAAAGCTCCAATGAGCAATTGCCTCAATCCACATTCAATGAAACATCCATTTTACACAATAGTCATGTTGTTTCTCAGATGTTTTTTTCTGTGTTTTTCCACCTCAAGATTGGTTTTTGAAAAGAGACAGTAAAGAAAGAAGAGTACCTTAATCTAAGAAGTCTTTGCTTGTTTTGCATTTTCTGAGTCATGCCATATCTGGTTATTTAAGTGACAGATAACATTTTTTTTAATACTGTCACCCTTCCAGATCCAATGTGGCAGCTGAGAAATAAAGCAGGTTTCAGTTTTATCTCATGCATTGACAAGAGAATTGCCAATTACATTCAAGCCTGGAATCTTTGGAGCACAAAGGAGAAAGAACACTGCTTGATTTGCAGATGCCAGGCAGTGCTGACAGCTTGGAGCAGCATGTTTTGATTTGTAAAGTGAGCCAATTTAACAACAGGAATCCCCAAAGGGAGCAGGATTGGAACACAGAACTATCATTCCTGACACAGCCTGAGTTCCCCACCCTTTAGTCATAGATGTAAGATAAAGTGTTGGGCTTTATTGTGCTTAAAAAGATATTATTAACCTCAAATTGAGGCAGTGACTGTATTCCACCTATTTTTCTTGAAATAGGTGTGGCACAGCTTTCTCCCAGGATGTTTTTCAATGTTGCCAAGTAGCCAAATGCCTTGGAATTTCTTCATGGTTCTCAGCCAAGGCCAAATCTGCTTTACTTATGAGCTCAGTCATATGTCTATGACAGGGGTGGGATTCTACTGGTTCGGACTGGTTCTATAGAACCAGTTGTTAGGATTCTGCACAATTCGGAGAACTGGCAAATCGTGCCCCTGCCTGGCCCACCCCTTCCACCCACGCCTCCCCTCCCTGTCCAGTCAGTCCTTATCGTGCATGCACGACATTCCATGCATGCCTGACATCACTGACTGCATTGTCCCCCACCCAGTCATTCCTTAAGGTATTTCTTTTTTTCCTCTCTCCCGATGATCAGCTGTTCTGATGATCAGCTGTGCCGGGATTCTTCTTGCTGTCTTACTGCTTTGCCCAGGAGGCTTCTCTGAGGCCCAGGAGGCAAAAAGGGGCACACAGAAGGGGTTCTGCCTCCCCACACTCTGCTTTTTGCCTTCCTGGGCCCCAGGAAAACTTCTTAGGAGCAAAAACGCCCCCCAGGAGGCTTCCTTGAGGCCCAGGAGACAAAAAATGGGGAGGTACTGCAAAAAAAGAAGCCATGCCCATGTCTACCACATCCACCTAGACAGGCCCACAGAACTGGTTGTTAAAAAATTTGAACTCCCCCCCCCCCCCGCCCCCGGAAATTGTCAGACATTCAGGTTATGGTTGACCTAAATGTGCTTTTTCAAAAGGCAAATGGACTTTGTTTTTCCTTGAAGATGTTTCACTTCTCACCCAAGAAGCTTTTTGGATGAGAAATGAAACATCTTCAAAGAAAAACGAAAAGTCATTGCCTTTTGAAACAGCTTGGCCAGTTTGCAGGGGCTGCTATTTGACAAAGTAAATTGGTTTAAAATTAAATTTCTTACAAAAACCATAATCATTTGTTCCATTTCTTCCAAAAGGCAACACATTCAGAAATTCATTGGGATGTACTCATAGTAAATATGTATTGTGAGGTTCTTGGAATTCTCTGAGTTGACTTCTTTTCCTGTAGACAAGAAGCACAGACAAGTAGAGGTGGGGTTTTATGGTGTGTGTGAGATAGCTTGTTTTACCAGCCTTGATTGGAATTTCTGGTGACCTTTCTATTAGTTAATAGGTGTGTGATGAGAAAGGAGGTGTTTGGGTCTTTTGTTTTTTTTCCTTGAACTTTGGTTGCTTTCTTTCCATTAGAAATTGAAACCACTAAAATGCAGGAGAACTCCCAGAGGCATGGCCGCGGCACTCTGATGAATCAGGCATAAATGATCACAATGAGATAACAACTATGCATAAACTATTCAAGAAAGGAATCAATCTAAGGTGGAAAAGAAGCAAATAGATTTAAATAGATCTTCCCTCATTACACTAGGGAAACAAGAATAAGAAAAATAGACAATATTCCACCACAAAAGCAATGAAGCCAGAGGTGGTATTCAGCAGGTTCTGACCAGTTCTGGAGAACCAGTAGAGGAAATTTTGAGTACTTCAGAGAACTGGCAAATACCATCTCTGACTGGAGATTTTACAGTATCCTTCCCCTGCCATACCCACCAAGCCACACCTACAGAACCAGTAGTAAAAAATTTTGAATCCCACCACTGGAAGAAACAATGCCCCGGTCATGGCTGGTAAGACAAGCTACCAAACTAAACAGCCAGAAAACTCCATTCCCCCACAGACTGATGATGTTACCTAGCCTGCTAATGAAATGTCTCCAGGAAGAGACACAAGCTCAAAGAACATCAAGAACTGAACAACTCAGCCTTGAGCTACAGAAATTCTCCACTGTGGCAGACACATGTTATGTCATTGATTTGCCCATAATCAAAACCACACAATCCTGTATGTTATGCTTAAAATTAAAAATACTATCTTTTAAAAATCTAGAATATCTTAATGTAGACATTTGATACTAGTTTAAATTTTCATCCAATAGGCAAAAATCAGGTAGTTTGTTATTTTTACACTTTAATAACTATGGATAGAAATTAACACTGACCAAATAGTTAATTTACTGATGAGAATAAAAGAAGATGCCCTTGAATCAAGCTGATTTCCTGATGATTGTGCAGTTTTCTTAGCCACAATATGGAAGTGGTTTACCAGGGCTTCTTCCAAGATGGTTTTTCAATTTCTCATTTATTTATTTTATTTATTTATTTTATTTATTTGTCAATTGTTTAAGAGATAAGTAAAAGTGTATACATAATTATGAATACATGAAATGAGTACATATAAGAAAAATAAAATAAAAATAAAAGAAACAATAGGACAGGGACGGTAGGCACGTTGGTGCGCTTATGCACGCCCCCTACAGACCTCTTAGGAAAGGGGTGAGGTCAATAGTAGACAGTCTAAGGTTAAAGTTTTTGGGGTTTGGGGAAGAAACTACAGAGTCGGGTAGAGTATTCCAGACATTGACCACTCTGTTGCTAAAGTCGTATTTCCTGCAATCAAGCTTGGTGCGGTTAACCTTGAGTTTGTATCTGTTGTGTGCTCTTGTGTTGTTATGGTTGAAGCTGAAGTATTCATTGACAGGTAGGACATTGCAATGTATGATTTTATATACCATGCTTAAATCAGACCGAAGACGGCGTAATTCAAGGTTTTCTAGTTCTAGAATTTCAAGTCTGGTGGCATAAGGTATTCTACAACGAGTAGAGGAGTGGAGAACTCTTCTTGTGAAATATTTCTGGACTTTCTCAATTGTGCTAATATCAGATACGTAATGT